TGTTTGAATAGAATTTTTTCTTTCTTTGTATAAAAATGTAGTTGATTGATTAATGAATAATGGAGTCGCATGTATAATAACTTCTTCATCTAATAATGTTAGTTTAAATTAATCAAAGAATAGTTAATCTGTTTTGATATTATTGTGTGTCAATCGCATGTTCTAGTGTTATTAAATAACAGAATATAGAACGAAAGCAATCTCTCTCTGTACAAACTCGATTGCAGTTTTCCATTTGCATTAGCCGTAAACTAATAACTAATAAGTTACGTCTTTTTCAGCATGTAATTAATTGAGGGATTTTCTTTTATTTTAGAGGCGAACTTAATAGAAAAAATGAAGTCACTATAGGTTCATCCTTTTAAATAAAATGAGACGAGCCTCGCCAAATAAAACGCACAGATTGCAGGGCCCTCAATAAATGTACATTTAATCACTTAGACTTCGGGAGGAGCCGTTTAGCAAACTGTACGGCTGTCCCCAAATAATAAATATGCTAATCGCTTTAGGCGCGATTTAATTAATCTTACCTTCNCGGAAAAAGGAGGTGTAACATTACTCATAATTCTATCTTATCACTCTTCTCATTACTCTGCTAATATTTTTGCCTATCCTTTTCTTGTGAAAACTTCAGCAAGACATTCTTTTGCTTTTTGCTCCCCTTGCTCCATCCATCGTATCTTCGAGTTGCTCAACGTCCTTGCTCTACTAGGGATGAGAGTCACACTAAGGTAATATTTATCCCTTCCATGCTTTCAGTGCCTATCTTCTGAAGTTTTTTTTAATCATACTAGCATTCATATCTAATTGTAATGTTCTAGAGTGCACTATCTGGGTGTCTCACAAGAAGATCTATTAGCACATTTGTAATACCCTTCGAAAATGTCAACTAACACAAACAATCTATTCACCATTTTGGGTTACTCTAACCCCAGCTGGATCCTGATGTTCCGTCCTTTTTTAAACTACACCTGTTAGCCCCATAGGGCATAACTGAGATGGGTACGGCTAATTGTACATACCTCTATTACTGTTGAATATAACTTAAAAAGCTTATATTCCTCTGCCTAAATTATAAACATTGTTAACCTTCCTTAACTGGATGCCTCGTACTCTGCTTCATCTTATTTTTTTTTGCTTGTTGAAACTTGAATTTATCTTCTGAATATCTCATTATCTTTCACCATTAAGGTGGATAGGTATTCTTGCCTCAAAACTCCTTATCAAGAGGCTTACTCCTTTCAGTACGCACATGATCCGCTGAAGACCCCATATTTACTTATCCGAAGCATGATGCAAAGTCAAGTTCCTCTGACCCAACTCTCCCATAGCCATGTCTTTCACCAACCATTTTTATGGATGTAGGTATCGTCTTAATACAAATAAAATAGAAGTTAGGAATTTGAATTCTTACAACTGAGCTCTACCATACGATCTAGAGTAAGAAGAAAGAGTGACAATCATAAATGCCATGTAGCCTCCTACTTATAAGTGCGGTGCATGACACACCCATAAATAAGACTCTACTAGACACGGCTTGTAGACTCCCTAGGACAGAACTTCGCTGGTACCACTTTTGTCACAACCCAAACCGATGGACCGCGACGGGCACCGATACGTTACCCAACCGAGTACCAAAATAACGTATCTTTTCATGTCATACTATTATAGATAACTGAGCCGGAAGGCTGCCGTGAGTTAAGTAGAATACAACATGTGATACCAATTTATACATAAGACATACGGGCATTTAAGGCCAAAATAATCACTCGTATACTGAACATAGGCCGACAAGGCCATACAATCTTTTACATACATGAAATCTGTTTACAAGCCTCTTAATACATAATTTTCATAAAGGTCGGGATAGAGTCCCGCCATACCAAATAGTACACGTCTAAATCATACTAACCAAACAAGCAACTCTGAAGTAAATGGAGCCCATCAACATCTTCCACTGAGCTGATAGCCTACTTTGAGGGCTCTCGACCTGTCTACTGGGACCTGCGGGCATGAAACGCAGTGTCTCCAGGCAAAAGGAACGTCAGTACGAATAATGTACCGAGTACGTAAGGCACAGAAATAAGTACATAACAGACATGGAAGAAATATAGAGTAAATAACTCAACCTGTAAGTCTGAAAAACTTTGTAAATCATGAAATACTTATAGTGTCATGCATATGAGTATGAATGTCATGTCGTGCATAGGTACATGTTTTATAACATCATCAGCCTCTGAGGGCATCCCATCATATCATCTCGGCCACTGTGGGCAAAATCATCAACGTATACCAGCTAATTAGGTGGTGGTACGTATATAACGCCGTAACCTTTTCTCATATCTCATATACATATAATATACATATATACGCGTATATAACGCCATCTGGTCATGGGTCAATGTACATGAATGCAATGCATGAGAAGTACATTAATAAAATCTTTCGGAATGTCATAAGACCATTATGTCTTTGAGTAATATCATGAAGTAAACTTTTTCAACTTACGTATTTTTCTGAGACACATGAACATAGGATAAAATAATAGGACACATGGAAATTCAAGAACGTAGGCATTTCTAATACTTCTATGAATAGAGTCATTTGTGGGAGTTATGTATTTGCTCGTTTCGTTTGTATTGTATAGATCATGCCAAAAGAAAGAAGGGATAACCTTAACACATCTCAGTCGATTCTCTTGAGAAAGATTACACGGTACCACGTTAATATTGCAAAATCTCACGTTAATTTGAAAGCTTGGGCGCAGCTTATATGTTATATAATATGCATTTGCATATTAGAATGTTTAAACGTGATTTCTATGTAAGAACATCTTGCTGGACTATTAAGTTTGAAACATAATTTTCCTAAAATTTTATGGACTCTTTCTGAAGAAGTGTAGCAAATGAATTCTAATTTTTGGAGATTGTTATCTTTAGTTTAGGTGGGTCTCTCATTGGAAGATTGGTGTCACCTTAGGTGTGACACCTTTCCCATTTTCATGCCACCTATTAGTAATTACTATGAGTCATTTTAAATTAAAGGAGGGGCTGTCATCTCATACTTGTTAAATACTTATCCAATATATCCGTAATTAATTAGGTAATGTCCCGATACCCGATAATTAATCAATTACCCGCATAATTAAGAATTGTCTCAAATTTTTAATTCCCTTATATATCATACTATCATAGTCATATGGTACCTTGTATGATACTAGTCCATAAATATTGGGTATTAACGATCGACCCATATATTATCCCAACATGCCAAACTTGAACGAAAATTCATTTTCTTTGACTTGTTTCCCCTCTCATCTTTACACATTTACTCATCACTTGTGAAATAGCATAATCCTTATAATCTCCGAATAATCTTTTCCTTGGACTGTTGTCAATTACCTTACGACAAATTCAATACTACAGGGTGCAACATCGTCGTAAAAAGTAAATAAGATAGGGAAATCAGAGCAGTTACAAGGAATCTTTAGTCATAAATGTATCAATTACGATTACATATGGTAACAGACAATCAATACAATTAATACCATTAGTGAGCCCAAATTAAGTGTGGGAGCCGTTATAGTTATATGCTTCTATATTAGGACAGAAATCTCATTTGTAAGGGCAAGTTACGATTATTACTGAAATACATACTATTATTCTTTACTCTTCAAGTTTTAAACCTTGCTTTTGGGGAGTGATTGTCAGTTCATTTCTTATTTTTCTTTTCAATCATTTCCATTATTTGATCTATTCTTCCTAAAATTGTTAGGAAAGTGAAGTAAATCTTGGTTATCAGTAACCCGTTCTTTTCTAAATATCTATTTTTGGTTAAATATTAAGTGCATTAACTAGGAAAAAATTGTGATTCCTTCATTAAAAATAGTTCTTTGATTGAGACCTTAAAAATGGCATCGAATCTTGTTGTGAAATGGCATAAACAAGAGTACAGAGACCCTTAGTATAAAACTCTGTCCAAAAACCTTATATTATTATTCATTGCTAGTGTCCCATGTGCTGGCTGCTAATAAAGCATCCAATTAGGATAACTACTTCTATAATTAAGAAATACTTAGTCCTCTGTTCTTCGTTAGAATATAAAATTATACGACCATCAATTTAATCTCTAAATCTCAACTTTCTAGATCATAGAGAAGTGGAAGAATGGCCAGTACTAGTATGGAAGTGAACTCCAACATCATGGCTCTGCCTAGTGAAGTCTTGATGGATATACTCTCTAGGCTTTCTCTCAAACATGTCCACCAACTTCAAACAGTTTCAAAGCTGTGGCTCACAACCATCTCTAGTCCACATTTCAGAAGACTCTACAACATGAAATCCATGACTCGACCCCGGGCACTTGTAGTTAAAGAATCTGACCACACTTATTCAAGGCCGAGCGGGATTGGACCTCTTAGTCGAATTATCAATATTTCGACCATGGATCTTGCTGGTGATAACAAGATTCAGAAAGTATTCAGTTTCAAGATTATTGGCCGTGAATACTCCTTCTGCCTCTCGTCCAACCTCATCTTTTTCAATCGCAAGGTATGCAACCCCACAACTAGAGAAGTCATAGACTTACCAAATTCAAGTAATCCATCATTTAGCTTCGATGTGGGGTATATCCCTTCCACCAATTCATACACGATTGTCCATCTATATGGTGCCAAATATGGTCCTAATTACACATACAACTATGGTCGTGTAGTTTTGGAGATCGGATTTGAGACTCTCACACTGACACATGGTGGACCAATTCCTAGTTCTTGACGATCCTTGACACACCAAGAACGGTTTTCTTACAAGGTTGGTGCGACATGTGTAGATGGTGTACTATATTGGTTAGTTGGAAACGGAAAGGAATGTCATATTATTTCAATGGAAATTGAAAATGAAGAATTCTTAACCATTACTTGCCCTAAAGAAGACGATTACAAACATGGGCAGGGCCAATTAACTGATTTGAAGGGGAAATTATGTTTAGCTTACTACTCGGAAGAATTATCAAGAATGGTTCTATTCTTGCTCAAAGATCCTAAAAGCCGAACATGGGTCAAGGAGCAAACTATCAATTTATCAGGGATGGGGGATTTGGTCAGAATAGTGGGGTATGTACCACTAGATGATAACAATGGAGAAATTCTTATTCAAGGTGAGACGCCTCTCCTCTACAACATTAAAGAGAAAAGGGGTAGAAAGCTGCAGAAATCAAACAAAACTCATTCTTGCTTGTCTTATGATAGATGTTTTACCTTAGACAACTCAAGACTACGAGCCCGTTTGGCTTAGCTGATTTAGAGTAGCTGATAAGCATTAGGTGCTGAAAAGCACTTTTAAGTGCTGAAACTGATTTAAAAATAAACAGTTACGTGTTTGGATAAAAGTGCTGAAATTAATAATAATCAGCTGAAGAACTGGGTATACGAAGAGTTTTGTTTTAAAAATAAATATTTTAGGGATAGAATAGTAAATATTTTGGTCAAACCTAAAGTGCTTATAAGCTGAAATTTGATAAGTTGGGGGAGACCAACTTATGACTTTTGGCTTATTTTTGGCTCATAAGCACTTAACTTATAAGCACTTTTAATTTTGTCAAAAGATAAGCCAAAAAGTGCTTATAAGCCAATTTGACAGCTTATAAGCTTAGCCAAACACCCTCCACGTATGCAACGAAGGGAGCCATCGCCAATCAGAAATTTATCATCGAAGATTTCAAAACGTGAGATAGTCTAAACAGATTTTGTTGATAGAGTAAGTCAAAGATTGTGTCAGTTGTTTTGATTTGTTTGTCTGCCTAATATCTAGGACATTAGTTTTTCTGCTAACAAAGAGTCTAGTAAGTAGTCCTACAATTATGTTTTGTGGGTTGCTGTAATTGCCTATAAAAGGCTGATATTGTAAAATAAAGAGTATGAGGAGCAGCAGCTCATTTGACTCAAAACATAGCCTTTCACTGTGCATTACCAAATCTGATTTTTCTGAATTCAGTTTGCTATATATCTAGCCATTTTGTTTTTCCTGCAGCAGCAGCGTTTTTTTTTCTTGCTGTTCCAGTAAACTAACAGATTTCGGCTTTTTTTCTTCTTCTTTTTGCACAGATATAGAGGTTTGAAAAATGCAAGTGATAGATGTGATAAATTTAATGAACCATCATCAAGATATTAAAGAATAGAACAGAAGTAGAAGGAAAAGAATGCATGTGTAGCTACCACTGTACTAACTGTGCTGTTATATTATTATCCATATTTGGCGTTTGAAACATAATATTCAATAAAACTTAGGAGGATATTACTAACTGTCCGACTTTTTCGCTCAACATTTGAGATTATAAGAATTTTAATTTATGTAACGTTTGTTGAGTGATTGTGCAGTTGAAGATGATATAAACTTCTATTATTGGGAAGCTACCTTTATTTAGTTGCGTTCCATATGTGACTGTGTGCTTGAAAACTACCGTTCAATAATAACTTAACAGAATGATATTTTAGTTATTTATTCAACTTGTTGTCCAAAATACATCAGATCCGTATTTAAGGAAAAGAGGAAAGTGTGCAAAAAGCTAACTATAGGGGGTAAAAGTAAAAGCTACTGTTATTTTAGGACTAAAGTATAATTCTGAAAAACCCTCCGACTTAACTTCCTTTGTTTTCAACAAAAAATGAACACACTACAATTGAAACAAGAAGAGGAAAAGCAGAGAACAAGTAAGCAAGACTGGAGTTTCCGTTTTTGCTGAAAATAAAGGGACTCTTCACGACTGGTTCTTTCTTAATCCATATTCAATTTCTGACAACTCAAAATACTTGTTATTTGTGTGTTTCTTATAGTAGAAATTGTCAAGTTAAACCGTGTACAATGTGTTTAACTTTTGGTGTGGGAAGGTACTTAAAGTTGACCCATTAGAGCAGTTGAGGGGAGCCTATAAGTTTCACTTTAATCAGTTACAAAAATTGTTCTTTTAGTTTTTGTCTAAAACCAGTCTTATAACTTCACTTTTGTAAACATTGCAAGGTCCATGTAGTAACACATAAATGCCCGTTCAAGTAGGAAGTTTTTCACTGTTAAATGTAAGATGTAAGACATATATGTTGAATTTAGATGCTTTGGGAAATGTCTTTAATATATTTATGGATGAGGAATCTGCTGCTAAAATTGTGGGATTGTCTGTACTAGGTACAATAGTTGAGGTATGCCTAAGCTGATATGGATATAAAACCGCCATAAAATATTTGTGGAATTGCCAAATATGATATATATCTCATGTGTCATTCTTTTAAGGTTGTGTTATTTGGATGAATGAGAATGACTAATGAAGTTGTGATCTAACATTTTGCTTAATTCAAAGTTAAATGTGCTTATTCAACTAACATGAGGACTAAAACATAAATAACCCAATAATTCAGAGACTAAAATTGCTATCTTGATATCATACTAGTGCTTCAGATATATGCAGGCAAACATTACAAATGTAACATATGTACATGTCGACTGTGAATATTACTCACTATTGTTGTTATCGTCCTGCCTCAATTGTAATTGTCACTTGATTGTTAGAAACTTTAGAGGAAGACGATATGTTAGACGTGTGTGTTCTCATTACAAAAGCTGGTCGATTAGGTTTAGGAAGACACATATTTTCCCCTACCAACATTACAGTGACATCTGACATATTGGGACGATCATTTGAATCTTCTTGTACACACAAGAGTGCGACATTGATACACTTTATCACTTCACTCATGTTGCATGATTCAAGTAATGACTTCTCTGTTAGTTGTATTGCCTTCTCTTCTATCCACAGTCTCCATGCCTGTGATAACTTTCAATTAGATATAAAGACTATTTAAAAGGACTACCAGTATATAAGTTTGAGATTCGTCACTTACATAACCTAACAAGTTTAGCGCTTCTTCTGATTGGTAAAATCCAGTGTTCTTTCTTCCACTAATTATCTCAAGTACGACTACTCCAAAACTGAATACGTCTGATTTGATGGAAAACAGTCCATCTAATACATATTCAGGAGACATATAGCCACTAGATTACACAATGTGGACAAAGTGTTAAGTATAAGAATTTAACCAAAAACAAAAGAAAAACTAAACACCTATAGTTGGATCATTTGCAAGAAATAATGATAGGAAGGGATGTTATACTTACTAGGTCCCCACTACTTTCTTTGTATTTGCTCCTGTTCTTGTTCCTTCAACAATCCTTGCCAAGCCAAAATCTGAAATTTTTGGATTCATTGCCTCATCTAGTAAAATGTTGCCAGTTTTTAAATCTCTATGAATGATCCTTAGTCGTGAATCGTGGTGAAGATAAGCAAGACCTCGTGCAATGCCCAATATGATGTCATAACGTTTCTTCCAATCCAGTAATGTACAAAGTGATCCATCTTGCATAGTTGTCCAAAAACATTGATGGTATCAATACCATAATCATGTCAAAAACATACAATTTTCAGATAACAGTACATTTTTTCAGACTTACCAAATATAAATGTGTCCAAACTTTTATTTGGCATATATTCGTACAACAAAATTTGTTCCATTGCATTAATGCAATATCCCAAAAGCCTGACCAGATTTCGATGCTGAAGTTTCGCAATTAAAGTCACTTCATTCTTAAATTCATCTATGCCTTGTCCGGAGTGACTTGATAGCCTTTTCACTGCAATCTCTTCTCCTCCTGGAAATATACCCTGCCAAAAGTTTTTCCATCTTAATACTATACGTGAACACAACCACATCGATCCATTGAGACCAATCAATCAACGTTATCTTAATTCCAAGCTAGTTAGAACTAGTCGATATTTAGAGATGCAAGAAAGAAATCTTAACCTTGTAAACAGGACCAAATCCCCCTTGTCCGAGCTTATTTGCATTTGAGAAGTTGTCAGTAGCTACCAAAATAGTCTCCAAATCAAAATATGGAACATCAATGACTTTATTCTCATCGTTTTCAATCATCAACTCTTTTGCTTCTCCTTCAGCTTTGTGCCAGTGAGAGATTTGTGTCCCTTGACATGGAATCCCGAAAGTTATAAAGGAGATCATTATTCAGAGTCATATGGCATTCATTCAGCAAATTTATACCTGTTCCTTTTGCCGTTCTTCTTCTTCTATAGTAAATGTAGCTAATGCTGCATATGAGTAGAACCATAAAAGGTATTATGGCAACAAGGATAGCTTTAAGCTTTATTGATTTCTTCGCTTTAGTTTGAGCTGAAAATAACTACCAGAAATCAAGTTAGATATCTTGAACATCTATCTAGAAGGACCATAATTTTAGCAAACCTCAGGACCATATTTAGAATCCAAAAGGAAAAGATTAGTTTTCAAACTCCCAGTAAATGGATTTAAGACTTAATTTTGAGTTTTAACTATTTTCTCTGCTCAACCAACTCTCCGATTAACAAAAAAAAAGGAAAATTGTTGAAGATATGATTAAAAAAATAAAAATATGATCTCTAATAGCTTAAGCTTTTAGATAAGATGGTTAACAAAAATCAAATTTAGTAATTACATTGTAATCATAATAATAAGGAATTCTACCCTCAAAATGTAATATTAATAATAGGGAATTTATCAAATAACCTACAGTATAACTACAGATAACCGTCCACAAAAATGTAATATTAATAACCTGGAAATTAAGGTAGTCCCCGCTACATCATGTTAAAATACACTATCCACTGTATGTAAGTTAAATCTGATTAGTAATACAGGTAAGTCATTTGATGCTATTCTAACCTTGAAGGGAGCCAAGTTTGACAGAGATAGTCCTCTCTGTTTCATTTTCGCTGAGTTGTTGCAGATTGAAGAGATATCCTGTCCAAATTGAACAGGTACCTAAGCCATCATAAGTATAAGCAGTGCAAGAACAACTATCGAAACAAGTATCTCTGCATTGCGAGACTTCTCCAACTGTGACGTTAGTATATTGAGATGTAGGTAATATCATGGTCAAATTCATCCAGAAATCATCCTTGTCTTCAGTAATGGCACTACATTGCAACTTCCCTTTTCTTACACATCCACCCGAATAATCATTCAAATTCCATTCATCGATTGATCTTGGCATGAAACCAGTCAAACAATTGCAGGGTGAATTAGTATTACTTGTGCAAATTCCAAATGCCCCACAATAACCATAAACCTGACATTGTTCTCTAGGTTGAGCCCAAAATTCATTCCAACCAGCTGCATTATTCGACCATGTTCGTTGCTTCATTTGTCCTGAGACGTCTATGATCAACCTTGATGTGGTTGTACTATTCTTGAAAATCGAATATGTAAAATAGGACTCGTTCTCATTGTTAACATAGTAGATCCTCATTTCAGGCACTAAGCTAAATGTGTCACCAGTCCATGTTCCACTTTTCCAATACTGTATAGTCTTATTCCATTTT